GCTATAATGATCATATATATTTCAAATATTTGTCTAATAATAAAAATGATATCTTTCTTCTAAGTGCTTATCATCCTAAAGAGATTTTTGATAAATATATAATCTGAGTGTCAGGAAAGGGTTTTACAGTAGTTAATCATCTATCTGAAATTTATGGGTTACCTGATACCCATGAGTGTATTGATAGAAATTTGCCTTTTTGCCTAGTTTTAGATATTAATGCAAGGCAAAAGTCAAATCTAATGAACCCTGAACTCCCTTCCTTAGATAGATATAAAATTTCTCATAAAGATTTATTGTACAGAATTTTAATTGCCTGTACTAATATTATAAACTCTAATTTAAATCATTTCATAATTTTAGATGCTTTTTCCTTAGTCAGCTCATCTAATGCTAATAAATGCAGTTGGTATATTATGTATAAATATGCATAGTTTGTTAACTATAGAGATCTTAGAGAATTTGTGAAAAAAGTTGCTGATAGGGTTGGAAAGCCATATTTAGAATTTATCGATATTAGACTTTATAAATCTTGTTTTAGCCTTCAACTTCTTAGATTGGCAAAAGAAGATAGAATTAAAAGACTTGCGATTTTTTCAATTAGGAGAGGGTTGTATAAACTAGAAGATTATTTAGTTCAATCTAAATTCGATTATTCTGAAATCTGGCCCTGAACCTTTTTCTCTAAAAAATCAGAAAAAGAAGAGTTTTAGCCTATAGAAGATGAAACTGCTTTAAGCAAGGGAGTTGGTTTTGTTACAGCAAAATATAAATAGTTTGAGATTGATAACATTAAGAAGGAATTTATCAACTTTTAAGCGAAATCATATGAAGTATGTCTTATTTGCGATATCAGACACGAAAAAGATCAGTTATATAGTTTTCTTTGAAGTGATAGATGTTTTATACTTAAATGTTATCGGCAAAAGTAATATAAATCAAATTATAAAAGATTAGTATTTGGAAAAGTAATCAAATTTCTGCAAAACCTAAGCGAAGAATAGTCGAAAGAATAGCTGATGCTATATCAAATCCACACTTTATTGTAGAATTATCAGAGACAGTTATTAATGTAGAAAAATTAAAAGATGCTTCTGAAGCATATTCTGATTTCTTAAATATTGAGAAAATGATAACGCTTATTCGTTCTCCTTTGAGAACATGAAAAACTACTGCATTAAGAAAGAATATTATGGCATTAAAAGATAAAGTACATGATTTTTCTTCTTTACCATGCTATATCTGGATCTCTTACTAAAAGTCTCTTAGCAATAAATTAAAATCTAAACTTAATAAGTTAAAAGCATCTAGCTTTCGAATTTGCAACTACCAAAATATGCAAAGAGACTTTTCTATAAATGAGTGAGATATTATTATAATATAGGTTGAAAGACGCTTTCATGTTGAATTCACAGCCCATCTATTTGTAGCTATTCTCGATAAAGCTAATGCTATTATATGCTAAATGTCTAGTGATACAAATGCACAGGAATCTAAAAATGCAATGCGTGATGTCTTAAAATCTATAATACATGTTTTAGCCATAGATGCCTTCATAAATATCTCAACACTAACCTTTCTCCAGATTTATTATGGTGAAAATATTTATATATTCGATAATAAGTATCAGCCTTGTATAGGTAAGACAGTTGAATTTATTTATGATTTGAATAGTAAAACAGAAGCTATGCGAATAGGATATGATCTTTTAAAATAGGATAAACGTGTGGCATTTGTATCTACCAGAGTGATGATGGCTAGAGCGTTAGTAGAAAAAGTATCTAAGTTGTCTAAGCCTGATAATTCACCTATTAGAGCCTATGCATATTATGAGATATAGATGAAAAACAGCGACAAAAAGGCTTTTTTGATATTAATATCGCTTGGAGCAAGCTTGACTGTATAGCTTATACAAATACAGTAGTGGTGGAAATATCATTTGAGGTTATAAGTTACTTTGATATAGTTATAGCTATTACAAATATCGTCACTCTAGTTCATGTCAAAACTCTTGCACAAATGCTTTATCAAATTCGTGATTATTCTTGTTATATTATTTCTATATTCTATCAGAAAAATTCTAACAAACTTTTTCGCTTGTCAGATCATGAAAATATTTGGGCAGAACTTGCAAGTGCTCAGCCTAATAATTTATCTATAGCAATAAAAGGTCATTGTTAATAGGATAGTAATGCTATTTCTTATAAAATCGACGAATCTCCTGCTATAATAACATTTATTGAAGTTGAGCATCAGAAATGTCTTTTTGTGAAATACTTTATTGAGAAGCTTTGTAGTTTTATAGCCAGTACCAGCGTTTCTTTTCAGCTTATAAAAATGGATAAGAGCTAATGTGTTATAGAAAATCATAAAAAAATCTGCAATGAGATTAGGGTTGAAGTATTAGTTATCAAGGAAACAGATTTTGATATGATTGCTACTTCTCAGAATCTTGATCTTGAAGAAGCTAAAAATCTTAAGCTTGATCAAGAACGCTCTATCTCAAATACTATAGTGCTTAAACATTTCTATATGCAAAATTTTTATGGTAAAGATATAGACGATAATACTTGGGATACTTTTTGCAATAAAAAGTTTGTAAACTATTTTAGTCCGCCTAAACCTCAGAAATATTTTTTGTAGCTATATTACTTTCGAAAGCAAAGCTATAATGAGAAAAGTGCAATGAAAGGGTTAGAGGTTAAAGATATTGCACAATAGGAAGATACCCATTATAAAGTTAGATATAATTCTGAGAAATCAGTAGCAGAGAACTTGTATAAATCATATTCAACTAATCATTAGAAAGTTATAAGAGAACTCTTTTAAATACTAGACTTTATCAGCATAGATGATAAACGTATTCTTTTCAGTAATATAGTATTAGAAATATTTATACAATCCTGCGAGAGGTTTATAGAAGTCCTAGATCAATCCCTATTACTCTTCAGATTCAAGTCTCGTGTTAAGGTAAAATCAGACCTTAATTTAGCCATAAGGGCAATTAATGCAATTGCTGAAAATTAATGTGGCTATACTGTAAAGATAAATTATAAAAAAATAGGGTCTAAAGAAAAACAGAATTGGAAACATTCATATCAAATTAATTGACAGCCATATGATAATCTTAGTTTTAAAGATAAAGACGCATCAGAGCTTTCACTATCAGACTGAAAACAGATAATGATGTTCAGGAACTCTTTGATTCTATAGAATAGGAAAAATAATACTTTGGCCAAATTATTATTCAGCTAGATGTCTTGATCATATCTGATTTCATTTTACTTTCACGTTAGGCATGATCATAAATTTCATCATGTGTACTACAGATTCCAGTATTAGAATAGGTTCTCTTTTTACAGACAGGACATATTGTTTTAGAAAGGGCATTAAAATGTCTGAAACACCTTAATTCACGCTAGCATCCTTTTCTACAAATCGAACCACCTCTTATATTAGCAGGTTAGACAATCTATACTAGGTAATTTTGATACTAATAATCTCAAAACTTCATCTTCACTTTTATTATGGATATTCAAAAATATGTTATTCCAGTCTAAAGCATAAGTTATATCATCTTTATTTTTTTTTCGTATCTCTCTAGCCAGTTTTTCTTATAAACAGGTTTGGCATGATCCATACAAAAGTTAGTCTAGAAATATATCAGCTTATTACAGAATACAAACCTTTTTTTGAGCGGTAATTTATAATGTCTAATATATCTGGCCTTGTGTAAGCATCTTTTCTCGCAGATAAACTCATCTTTTTTGATATATTGGCAAAACTAAGATGGTAAATTAGAAGTGATCTCTTTAGAATCCTCTGAATCAGCTGTATTTCTTTTTAGAAAAGTTATTAAGATTAATATACATCAAACTTCCCTTCATTTTTTATTATAGATAGATCTGATAAATATTTGAAAATATAACACATGTTTTTCGAAGAAATGAAAATTATTTTTTATTTTAAAGATTTGATTTTCTTAATGTACATATACCAAAAAAGTTCTACTAATCTACTTATTATTGATATAGCTACTAAAATGACTACCCTAAAGACCTAAAAATCTAAAGCTAATAACTTTGCGTTGGTATTAAAGCAGTTCCTAGAAAAGCATAATCTGTCAGTTGACTTCATTCTAGAACAATTAAGCAAACATGCTTCTGAACTTGATGCTTTACTTTCTGATTGGATGACCCGTAGATATGTTAAGGTAGCTCTTGCTAAATCTAAATATTTATTTAGTAAAGAAAAAATAGAGGCTTTCCTGTCAGACAAAAGAAAGGGAAAACTCACCATAGAGAAAAGAGCAAAATACTGCACTACAGCTAGTAATGCTATAGATATTTTCGCCTATTATCTAGACTTAGGTCCAAAAAATAAAGATGAAAATGAAATGGTTGTTAGTGGCTCGCGTCAGTCAATATTCTGTGTGAAGTTAGCAAAAGATAGTGTAGATTTCGCAATTATTAAAGTAATTTCCAAAGATAAGGAACTTATTTAAGATTCTAATAAAATTCAGAAGAAATGAACTAAGAAATAAATGGCTAATCCAGATAGAATTCCAATATACTTCTCCTTAGCAAGGGTGTCTAAAAAGCTTCAGAATATGGATATATCTAAAATTCCTACTAGAGAGGATCTTGCGAATATAATAATAATATTGAGTATGCGACTTGCAGAAGTAAGATCTCTTTAAATTAATCACTATAAACTGAATTCTTTGAACATTCCATCATGGTATAAAGAAGGCTATTCTTGGTACTGTACTGGCTATTTAAAGAACAGAGGAGAAAAGAAGAAGAATTCTAATCTTTGACTATTTCTTTCTATGAAAAAGAATCTAGAACACGCAAGAGAATTGCTTATTTGGATTTAAGATACAATTAAGGCTAAAAAGTTATCTGATCCTATCTTTACTAAAAGTGGAATACGTAATACTTGGTTATTTAATGAATTCTTAAAACAAGAACCTTATAAAACTATACCAAAAAATTAAGAGATTATGAAAGTAAACACACTTTCAGAATTTATGGTGGTAAGAACCTAACTCTTCAGCATCTTAAACTGCTTTTGAGAATTGCATTAAGGTAAGAATCTGACTGCCTTGATGTAGATGATAATTATGCTATAAATAATACAGAATCAGAGGAGTTCAGCTCTGAATCTGACTATAATCCAAAGTTGAGATCAGAGATCAGAGTCTGTGGAAAATGATGAAATTTCTGAAATTATCAATATATATAGCTATTAACAATACACCTTCAACAAATTTTGCTAAATCTATCACTAATATACATAATTTTTCCTAAAGGTGCTTTGCTATTTTTTCATTTAAAGATACAACATATAAATAGAATATTTATGGCGCAATCAAGCATCTTTTATTTACCAGAATTATTAAAACAGATTTTACATTTTTTAGCGATAGATAAATTTTTTTACCCTGCTCTATTTATTAACTGATTTTGGTATAGATGTACTATTCCTAGCTTATGGAAATATATCAAATTAAAGAGGAATGATCTGAGATATGAGCACTATTTTTCAGATAGATATACTTATAATGAGAGAAATCATATTCAATAGGAAAATAATGTGTAAAAAGAATAAGCCAGCTCATATTTTGAATACAATTCATCTCAAAATTTCATACTACCATTCACTTTCAGATAAAAAAATCATAAGCATTGTATATTCATGTTCAATTATAACCCATTTGAGTTTCATAAATAGTATAGGATTTAGTAATAGAGCATTAGAACTATAGTGAATTTATATCTGAATCTGAAGTATCTCAATCTGTGCAATGATCAGGTAGTTTTAGAAACTTTCGTACTCAAGAAATATATAATCTAGATCTATGAAAAATTGCAAATTTATACTATAGATTAGAATATCTAAATATTTCTAGACATACAGAGTTTTCTGAAACATCAATTTGCAATATTATTTGCTCTTGCCCAAGGCTCCAGTATCTCAACCTTAGCTTTTGTAAAATTACTGATATAATTATTAAAGAAATTGCTAGTTCACATTTTAATCTAAAGTATCTTAATTTAGAAAGATGTAATAATATTAGTAAAGAAGCTGTAGATCAGTTCAGTTCACTTAATCCAAATACCTATATCAAGAATTATTAGGATCTGAATGATATTTGAGCTGAGATAGAGCGAGTGATAGAGCTAATATCAACACGGTTTCCAGTTGCTAATATTAGAACTCAGTTTTACTAGGGATTCTGATAACCTAATTCTAACATATTTATAACAGTTGACTTTAGTGCTGATCATCTTATTATAGCTATAAATAGACAAACACTGACTCAAAGTATCATTTTCACCTTAATGTTAAGATCTGTTGATAGATTATTCAACAATCAAGTAGGATAGTGAAACTTTACCGATCTAACTAATCCAAAGCGGTGATTATTGACTCAGAAGATTTTTTACTGAGCCATACATAGCACCTTCGGCCAGATTGTATAATAGAAAAATAAGTGGATCATCCAATCAGGTCTTGTATGACATATTAATTTTTGCATATACTGAAAAAAAGCTATACATGCTAACCAGTACTTATTTTTTTATTAAGTATAATTGATCTATTAGCAAAATGTTAGATGACGAAACGGATGAGACCTATAATTAATTTATTAAAGAATTTGGATTGAAATATAAATGGGATAATGTAAGAAATCCCAATGAGTAGAGATACTGGGATAATCTTTTTTGCATAATTAAAACCTATTGGGAAACAAAGGCGGTCAGGTATTAGAGGGAGAAAGCATTTAAGCAATTTGTATATGCTTTGCCCAGTATAAAAAATCTAATGTTATTATTCTATGTATTCCTATAATCTGATGCCTTTTATCTTTCGCAAATATTAAGTCTAATAAAATTGCCATATTATCTGCATGAACTTCGAGAGAAAATATAGCCAGATGGTATTGAGAAATTCTGATGTAGATTGTTTATTCAGGGTGAAGAATCAATAGTGGATTACTATTTAAAGGCAAAGAAATATAATGATATCATCAAACTTTGTAAAGGTCATTTTAGAAGTGAATTTTATAGTGGATTAATGCAAGAAAATATGAGACGTATTACAAAAAATGATTATTATTGTGAATTGGTAGAAATTCTTATTCAGGCGAAAAAAGAATCAGTGACCGGTATTATAACTGGGATTAAAGATTATATCAGTCAGTCTGGCATTGCTAATCTGAATGGGATGCAATACTAATTGAGAGGCATATATTGGATAACCAACCCAAGCGAAAGTAATCTGGAGCAGTGATCATCAGCTCAGAAGATTTTTTTCTGAGCCACAATGCATGTACTCCTGTATAACAGAAAATAGGCTAATCATACAGTCAGTCTGTGCGACATATTAATTTTCGCATATTGAAAAGAAGTTATATCCTAACTAATACTCTATTTTTTTTTCCGAACAAACATGAGGAAATGTGAAAGGAGATCTACATGCAACACAGGACCAACTCTAAAAGTAAATAGTGTTGAAAAATTTTTCTTGGCATTTTTCTGAGATCGCACGGTCCCAGAAATCTGGTGACTTTATAAATTTCTTTTGGTAAAATGTCACAGTCTCTATGTATATATATTAACTAACTTTTGAATATTTCACTTCTTGTATAAAATTTATCAATCATGTCATCCGAGCTTGAAGTATTGATCATTGAGCTTGAGGCTAAGGAAAAAGCTAGGCATGTTGAGCTTGAGGCTAGAATTTTAAAACTAGAGCAGGATCAGGCAGAAAGAGAAACTAAGAAAAATCGCAAATTTCAGACTAGATGCATCCAGATAGCTAAGGAAATACTTAATGAGGAACCTATGATCGAATATCGTCCTCCATTCTTGAACGGATTAGAGCTTGATGCCTTCTTCCAAAAATATCGAATCGCATTGGAGGTGCAAGAGGCTCAGCATCGGGTTCATAGCACTAGCTGGTATAAAGATGTCAAAAAACTCGAAGATATCGTTAATCGTGATCGGCGAAACCGATGCATATGTCAAGATAATGAAATATACCTTCTTGAAGTATGGTATGATCAAAACCCGGAAATTGTTATTCCAGAAAGGATACGAAAAATTAAGGAATTCGTTAATCAAGCATCCAAAAGTTTCGATCTCTTGTAATTTGATACTCCGATTTATGTAAAACAGTTATCACCCATGATTTTTGATCGATTATGTCATTACAATTATCATGTGACATAAAATTTATCTTATAAAGGGTCATCTGTGAACGTTTTTTTTTTTAATCATTTCTTTCAACAATTTATAAAAAATACGTGTTTCTTAATAATTTCTTTCAGTAATCTATAAAAAAATACGCGTTTTTTTTATACATTTCTCGTAAATATTACAAACATGGATGGTGGTGGTAACGGTGGCAACGGTGGTAAGATTGATTTTAGTGTATATAGCAAATTTTTCAAGTTTATTAATACCGTTATTGTCATCTAAGGACAAACACAACTGTCCCCCGAATTCCAAAAAGTACTTGCCAGCTTGACTCCAGAGCAGAGAAGGAATTACAATACCTGCGCCACGAACCAAGAAAAAGTCAGAATGTTGAGAGTGATTTTAGCTGATCGAAAGAAATCGGTACATTTATAAAACATTATCACGACTATCGCGCCCTCACACACTCATTTACTTATTTTTGCGATCAATATACTTCACACTTACGCTAAACAGATTTTTCGTCGCTTTTTTTTTCCTATGAAACCATATAGGAAACCTTCTGGGAAATGACTTCCATTTTTGTCTACGCAATTGTTACAATTTCCATTTGCGTAGGAAGTGCAGTTTACTTTTCAAGCGAGGAATCGACCAAAAATTTCGGTATAACTCTAAATTGTGTCTACTATTCAATCAAGTTTATACTTCTGATGGTAAAGTTAGAGCGAACTGGAATTATCTATAATAAATTGCATGATTTAATCATCATTATACCACCATTATTGGGAATATCACTTGCAGTGGTTCTAGGACTTTACGTCCAACAACTTACTTTAACAATCAACTTTATAAATCTCGGATTAGAGATATCTAAATTTATCGCGTCGTCTATTCTTCAGCTCTACTAAGGATTTGGTGGTCACTTGATCATTTGTTGCTAATACGCACTTGTAAATTGCTTTTTAACGTAAAATATTTGTAGATTGCTTTAATATTTATAGATTTCTTTAATATTTGTAGATTGCTTTATATAAAAACACTTGTTTGTAAATTGCTTGTAATAAGTACAAATTAATTGCATAACCCGAATAGCCTACTTAGGATTTTGGTTAGGTCATATTTTTATTTCAATGCAAAAAAATCTCTAAATCTCGCCTGAAGAAAAATTTACTATCTACTTAAATCATGCCAGCTAAGTTGAATGTATCATCTACATTTCAGGTAAATACTCCACTCCAGAAGAAACTATCAAAAGAGGATCGTAAATCACGCTTAGAAGCATACTATAGCATAGACTCTCATCAAATATCGTCTTTACTAATTCCAACCTGCCTTTTATGATGGACCAGAATTCCACTCGTATTCTGATCATGTGAGACCAATCACTTGAAATGCGCCGGTAAAATTCTTGCCGAAGGAATAGGGGCTGTGTGACATGTAAGGTACATATATAAATCTCGCATTTTTTTCTAACAAAAAACCGAACGTTAAATCATTTCTTCCGAAGGGTCCCAAAGGGACCACCAGCATATCACAGTGTGAAGAAGTGCCGGCGAAAAAAAATACTGGAGACGAAGATCCGGACAAGATATTGCGCAATTAAGGTGGGAATACTTATTTCGCTCGGTTGTGGCAGTACATTTGCAAGGAAGCGTCTTCAGAGCTGTAAACTAATACCTAGCTAATATCTTTTCATTCCAGGGTTTGGAGGATCTCTTTAGCATCATGAAGGCATAAATGAAATGGATTATGGAATAATGTTGAGAAGGAGCCGGCGATGAAAAAACAGAGGGTTCAGCTGTAAGACGCTTCGCATGTATTTTAGTCCGCAGACATTAGTATAGACGTCATGTATCTGCATAATGTAATTTATTTTTAGCAGTCCCTTTAGGATGTTTTGCAAATAAAAAACGTTTAGGGTCTAAGTGACCCGCGAAATGAAGTCAATTATTTTTCTCGTGTGGGAGTTGATTGGTGTGATTTCTTTGGAATCTACATACTAATTTTTTATTGCTCGAGCGTATATGCATATTAATACAGGGTAATTTAGAAAATCTGGATCGGCTAATTATTGGGCAATATGATTTCCAGCGAAGATCCAGGGACTTTCATGTTTTGCGATGATCGTTGCTATTAACTGCGGAGAAATTTTATTTATAAAAATGCTGGGTGGGGCGTCTGGTAAGAGAATCAAATAAAAGTAATATTATAATTCTGCAAAACGCATAATTCAATCAATCATCAAAACAAAATAATTTTCAATCAAAAATTTTAATAAATTTATTTCGAAAAATGCTCTCAAATTCTGATATTATTTTGATCATATTATTTACAATTGTGATCGTATTCTATGAAATAATATCCCAAGGTCTCTTAAGCATGGAAACACTCAAAATTATTTTTTTTCAGGAAATATAAACATGTATATTATTCTTGCAGTAGCATTCATCTATTTTCGTAACAATCAGACGAGTAGAGATAGGGGGTGTTTCGATAGTTGATGGTGTTAGTAGTATTAATGATACAGGAGAATTTTTGACGGTTTTAGATGATGATATTTGTGGTCTTGATGGTACAGGAGATGATGATGAGGTCGCTTTGCTTAACCTCCTAACGCTCTCATTATGTATTCGTTCGAATGGAAGATCTAGCAAAATTAAAATATATTGATATTAATAATGTTCACTAACGACTGAGAAGCATCAAATTCTCAAAAGTGTAGTTACCAGGCTTCAACCAAAATTCGCTAGAGAACTCCTCATAGATTTCCTCTCCTATTAAACTCCTTTTTTTTCCACCCTTTCTATATTTTACAGCTGTCTAATAAAATAATAATAATAAGAATATTATCGGCCAAATTCTTTGTAGAGCTAAGCAAGAGTTACTTACTTTATAAGCCTTCTTGAGATTATTAAATTTCTTTGACAGTCCTCACTAGTGAAATAATTTGTATTCTCTTGCTTATTTAGCTTCTTAGCGACATCTTCCCAAAAGAGACATTTCTTTTTATTTGGAGTGGAGTGGAATTCAGAATTTCTTTCTTTTCTTTCATTTATAAAAAAGTGAACCTGGGCACCATTCCATTCGTCAGAAGACATTTTTACATGGTGAAGAATCAGTGTGAAGGGTAGGGATTGTTTTATGGAAAAAAATCAAGTGATATATTAGAGATATTTGAGATGATTAATTAAATAATAACGGTGGCTTAGATGCCTATACAGAATCCAATTAGCTGATCATCTTATGATTTGAGAAACATTTTAGCGTCATGATAGTTCCTGAAGAGTACTGTGAAACTGACAGAAAGTCAGAGTGATTCTTGTGATATGATATACATCATGGATCAATTTAGCCATTATATTATTTCGGAACTAATTTAACCGAATTATGACATCGGGAGGATCATGAGAGATCTACAAACTGATTTACATGCATGTGAATATGAGAAAAAAGGAATTAGCATAGCCAAGATATAATACCTTATATAAACCTCCCGATATGTTTGTAATCGAATAAAAATGAATTCGATATTTTATTATAATATACTTGCTACAAACTGCTAAAATTCTTTAA